CATTTTTCTCTCTCTCTCTCTCTCTCTCTCTCTCTCTCTCTCTCTGTGTGTGTGTGTGTGTGTGTGTGTGTGTCCTCTGGCCAGATTAAAAATAAAGAAAGTTAAATAAAATAATTCTTTAAAAAAAAAACTACCTAAAAAGGTTCTGGGTTGTTTGGTTGGTTTTGTTTTTTCCCTTAATTGTCAGGAGGCATGTGTACTTCCTAGAGACTGACAAAGAGAGGAGAAAGCACACCTCCAATGGGGCATGGTCATAATGCAACCCCTTCTCCATTTCTCCATCCTGTCAGGACTTTAGGCACCCATGCACATATACCCAGCATGTTTTTCTTTCTTTTCTTTTTCTTTTTCCTTGTTCTTTTATATTTTTTTTAAAGAGATTTTTTGCTATAGGGCATGCGCGCTCACCAGAAAGACAGAGAGTAACAGAGAGACAGAAAGTGAGAAATCACCCCCCAGAGGGATAGCCATGCCACAGTCCCTTCTCCTCCGCTCTCCTCTTGGGATCTTGGGCACGCATGCACATGCACCTGGCGTGAGTTTAAGCCACCGGGTCTGGGACCCCAACCTCAGTCAACTATATGGGAGTCTAGCAATATGGCCATTACGACAACTGCTGAACATCCCAGCATGTTTTTCAGCTGAACCTCCCAGCATGTTTTTCAAACCACCAGGCTGGGATTCAAACTGTAGTCAGCCATGTGCAATCCAGCTGTGTTAACTGCTTGCTTTCCCAAGAGGTCCTGTTTTGATTTCTTTTTCCCTGCCCCTTTAGATTTTCCTCAAACTCTCAAGATGGTTTTAACATTCTCTTCCAGGCTTTAGATTTACATCTATATTATATCTAGGATAACTGATCAGCAAGAAACTGCAAGTGAACATCAAGGCAAGTGATTTACTAGAGTTTTGCACTAGGCGGGCAGATATGACACAAATCCAGAGCATTGTGTGTCACGCTCCCAAAGGGAAAAGAGGGGCCAAAGGGCATTGACTTGTCACAATTGCAATCCAATATGTAAGAATTTAAAATTATACACACACCCTAAACATTTCTAGTCCACTTTTCTACATCGATTCTCTGCATTAATTTTCTCAATAAGACTTCTTGCTATCTGACTTGTTTTACTTTTCATTTTGTCTCTTCCTACTAGAATGTAAATTCCAAACAGATAGGAATTTTTATGTTTTTGTTCACTGCTATACCTCTCAGTGCCTCGAAGAGTGCTGGCAGATAGTAGAGACTCCAGGGTTGGGGGCCAGCAGGTGGCATGGTGGTTAAGAGTGCTGGTCTTCCACATGGCCAACCATGGTTTGAGTCCCAGACCTGGTGGCTTGCTCTCTCTCTCTCTCTCTCTCTCTCTCTCTCACACACACACACACACACACACACACACTCTGTCCCTCTCTAGTCAAATTAAAATAAGTAAATAAATAAAGTTAAATAATTTGTTTTAAAATACTTAAGTATCTATTGAATTAATCAATGAAGAAGGAAAAAAAAAAGAAGAAGGCATATGTTACACTGAACATGCCTCATTTGTTTTCTGATTCCTTTCGTTTTAAATATCTAACTTTCATACTTGAACAAAATACCCTGTTCTATTTTAAGGATTCCCAATAAAGATCCACTGAAATCCATCCTGTCAGGAAGTGAATAGCAAAAACTCTCAATTTAACATCCTCAAGGTCAGTGTTAGCACATCTGCTTTCCTCATGCCTTATAGACGCTTTTGACGTTTGGAACAACACCATACAAATTATAGGTGGACTTTAGGATCAGTCATAGTTTAGAAAGCAAACTGTAAATCAGAAATGTTTTGTTTTTATTTTCTTCTCAGATATCCAGGGTCATCAAAACAATGGACATTCAAAATGCTAAATACTAATGATACTGATTACAGCCTGTCTTCAGCCATCTCTCTGAATTGAGTTATGTGGTATGACCAGAGGTTGAGCTTGGTCCTCCAGCAGTAGGTGACATGTAGATATTCTCTTTTTTTAAAGATTTATTTTTAATTTTATTTATTATTATTATTATTCCATTTTGACCAGAGAGAGAAAGAGAAAAAGGGAGAGTGAGAAAACAAGCCACCAGGTTTGGGAGTCCAGCCTCAACCACCATGCCACCTGCCTGCCCTGACATGTTGTAGACGTTCTCTTAAATTTATAGCATTTTATTTTTGCTATGGGGCACATGTGCCCTCACTAGAAAAAGAGAGGCAGAAAACAAGAAATCACCCCCTGGGGGGATGGCCATGCAACATCCCTTCTCTTTCAGTCTTCTCTTGGAATTTTGGGCACTCACATGCACCCAGCATGAATTGAAGTCGCTGAGTC